CGCCGTCTCTGCTGGGGCTCAGGTGAGGGCCCCACCTCCCCAGGGCGGGTTCCTCACGGCTGCGGCTGTGCCCACCAAGCAGCAGGGGGGAGGGCTTTGCTGGGCAGCCGTGTGCTCCGAAGCGGGTGGAAGCAATCAGCGTTGGCTGAGTGGTCTGGAGTGAGGTGTGAGTTTTGACTTGGGCCCCCTGAGATCCCATCTGGCAGTCTTGGAAGCAAAGAGGTCCTACAAGATGGGATCGTTAACCTGGTCACCTTGTTGATCACGTTCACAAGAGGGCCACAAAGATGGTCAGAGGGCTGGAGCACTTCTCTGAAGACAAGCTGGGGGTTATTTGGCCTGGAGAAGAGAAGTCTCAGGGGAGACCTTCTGGTGGCCTTCCAATACCTGAAGTGGGACTACAGGAAAGCTGGGGAGGGACTTTTTACAAGCGTATGTAGTGATAGGATGAGAAGGAAAGGTTTAAAGTTGAAAATGTAGATTTAGATTGGTTATTAGGAAAAAAATCTTCAGTGTGAGAGGTGAGACAACTGGAACAGGTTGCCAGGGGAAGCTGTGGAGGCCCCATCGTCCCTGGAAGTGTTCAAGGCCAGGTTGGATGGGGCTCTGAGCAACCTAGTCTAGTGGGAGGTGTGCCTGAATTGGAACTAGGTGATCTTTAAAGTCCCGTCCAACCCAAACCATTCTATGATTTTCTGAAGAACCTTCTGGCTCCAGGGAGGATAGAAGGGCTTCTTGCACAGTCCGGTGATCACATGTAAGGTCAGGTGAACAATTCTGCACTGGGCTGTGGAGAGGTGCTGGTGCTTGAGGAATTGCAGAGTATAACTAAGTCCCCCTCAGTAAGAAATGGAATTTTTCTTTTCCAGTGACATGCTGACAAAGTGCGGCAAATACCATAGTTAGACAACAGCACCAGCTTGGGGAAAAAGAAGCTTTAGTAAACATAAAAATTAATTCATTAAAATTATTTTAAATATTTAATAAATAACATACAATTTAAAAACATAACTAAAATGACAAGATATATGTGTAGGCTCAGGAAAGCCGACACCTAGCTGGATTTGGGCAGTGAGAGTTCTGCATAGGTTTCACATATGGTCAAAGGTGTTGAGAAGGAGTGAAAGGGCATGTGATCAGGCTGTCTGTCCCGTGGCCTTCTTGAAGCTTCCCACTAGTTACTTCTGGTAGTCTTCACTAAAACACTGTTGTTGGAATCAAAGCAGGCCTTGTCTGTTTCCTTAGTTAATTTCAGTTCTTCCAGTCTCTCCTGTGAATTTCATGCACGTGGTCATCCCCAGTTTGTCAGTTTCCACAAAGCATCCAAACATTTTATTTTTAGCTAAACTATACAGATGCTCTCCTTTGACGTTCTGGAAACCACAGGCACTGATTCTGGTAGACCAAAGCACAGGTACATTAACCGTAGGTCCTTAATGCTCACTGGCTAATTTCAGAAATTTAAGTGGTTGGTTTTTACTTACTTTCCTTTCCCTTGCAGTTTTGTCATGCTGCCTCCAGTGTTGCTGTTTACTCTTGAAAGCCCTGGACATGGTAAGTGGTTTTGCAGCTTGCTTCCTAGTCTCGCTGCCATGCAATTAAATCAAGTTACTACACTGTGCTCTTAACTGAACTATCTATGCTTTGTCATGTGTATTTCAGGTTTGTATATGAGTTCTGTAGGTGAGGGCTCCCTGTGCTACTGTGGTTTTTACACTGTGGGGGGTTTTAGTGTTGTTTTAGTAGATGGTATCTGCTAATCAGGAATATCAGTTTGGATTTAGAGAAGAGGAGGCCTTGGAGTCACTGTGAGCACATGGGACAGCAAAAACAATCACGTTTTTGCTTGAAGAATATTCTCTGTTCCATGTGGCTGGTGGGGGGGAAAGCCCCAAATAACTAGGGATCTGCATTCCTTCCCCCCACTCTCTCTTTTTTAAAAAAAAAGTAATTGTACTATTGTGCCCATCCTGGAGGCATTAGTGTTTAGCAAAGTTTTTTCTGAACCCCAATTTGGCTTGGAAGTACAAGAAGATGCAGTACATGAAGTTGCTTGCAAGCTTGGAAGCCAGTATATGCTGCAAGAAGATGCCAGTGATGTGTCAGGATGCTCATCTAGGGGTAGCCTGAGTGCCAATGGCCTCATGCCACCTTCAGAACTAGGAAGTGCTGGTTAGGCACTGAAACTGCTGGCTGCTGCCTCACACAAGGGTGAACAGATTGGCAGGGCACAGGGAGGCTGGAGGGGACTGAAATGCCTACTTGTGGGCAAAACTGATTAGCATTCACACAAACGCTGCCAGGTTTATTTTCCCCAAACAGGAATGGTGCTAGGTGGACCCAGAGGTAATTTTTTCTCTGATTAATACAATTTTCCAAGTAAGACCAGTGTAATTTAATTAGTTTTGATAGATACGTTTCATTAGAACAACCCTATGAAATGGGGGATAACCTGTGCACAGGATTCAGCTGTGGATGCTGGAGTGTGGCAGTCATTTTGTGGGGCATTGCTCTCAAAATCATGCTTTTGAACTCTGATTTAAGTTTCCTACACTTTCCTATCAAGTACTGGAGGATAATACTTCCATATTCATTATAATTTAGAAATTCTTGCCATTCTTCAAATCAGCAGACATTTATTTTTGTGAAGTGCAAATATATTTGGTTGAAAAATGGAAAAAATATTTTAAAATTGTTTTCATTTCAAATGTTCAAAGCTGGTTGGTATTTCTTTGGAGATTTCTTAATTAACATGTTCTGGGTTTGTAAATACAAATATAAACTATTATCCAGTATTTCAAGAAATTGTTTGTTCTAAAGGAAAAACTTTAGGAATAATTTCACTAATTAATCCTAGTATTCACTAACCTATCCTAGCATAATGCTGAAGTGTACTAAAGTAAAATAACTTTTCAAAATGAAGGTCCATGCTAATTAGATATATTCAAAATCAGTATAAAAGTGACTGTGATAGTTTTGCAATAGAGATACATGAGGCTGGAATACTGAAATATTTTTGGTATTTTAGATATGGAAATAAGTAATTTGGGGGGTTTTGTGATTAAATATTCTCAGGTAATTGCTTTCATTGAAAATAAACCACAAAATGTGCTGATTCTAATATGCTAGTATTAAACTACCTACACAAGGGAAACAGTAATGGTGAAAGTGGGTGAAGGTTTATGCTGGCACCTCCTTGGTTGCACTTGACAGCATTTTCTTCTAGTATGTATAATGCCTTTGCTAGTCTTCTAAACAAAATTATTTGGTCAGCTGTGAAAGCAACAATGTATTAGGAATCAAGCAGAGTTTCAGGAGCTCTCATTATCTGCTGAAGTTTGAAATCCTGCCCAGCTCTTGAATGTTACCAAAGGGGCAGTAGAATCTCCAAGCTACTGGGAAGTGACTTTCACTCATGTTAGTGAACTAAGTTAGTTAGTGTTCACGTGGCGGCTGGCGGCAGAGCTAACACTGGTTCTGTGGTGCTGGCGGCTGCAGAAGCCTGTGCCCGCACGAATGCAGGATCTCGGCCACGGGTGGCTGCTGGAAGCAGAAGCCTGCTCAGGAGCGGGCCGGCGGGGCGCCGGGACAGCAGGGACAGGTAACCGCCAGGCGGCACTGCTCTATTTGAATGTGAGATGCAATTGCAGTACATCTGAGCCTAGAAGTGAACCTCATGTTTAAATGAAGGGCTGTAGTGCTGTAGTGACAGGTTTTACCATAGGATAATCTCTTGTAGCAAAACACATTGTGGTCCTGAGATAGAGACCAGAGAACCACAGATCAGCAGCTACAGCTGTGGCTTCCTTCCCATATTTTAGTTGAGGTAGCAGCATTCACAAAGCTGAGACAAGGGCAGAGATGTAAGTGTATAAGGCAGGTGAGGTGGGAAGCAGCAGCAATGGAGGAGGCAAAGGCTGTTGCTTGCTGGTGAGACAAGGGGTGTGATGGGAGAGTCGTATGAGGCTCCTCCTGCCCCATGGAACCTCTGTTGACTGAGTGCACTGCATGGCACAAGTTTGACCAAAACCCTTTATTGGTAAAAGTGGGTTTTGTGGAAGTGATGTCCTGGGCCTTGACAGGGCATGGAAGCACTGGCAGTGGCACCAACATTGGCAAGTTCCTCATTCTTGTCTCCTCACACACCACAGCGTGAGGTGCTGGGCAAGAATGGAGATGGTCTGCTGCTCTCTCCCTCCACTAGGCCTCCTGTGCCCTTCAAAAGAGCAGGATGCTGCGAATGCTGAAAAGCAGAAACGAAGGGAGGAGTTACAATTGTTGTTAGGAGCATTCAGGAGCAGGCAGCAGGGAAGTCAAGTGTGCTGAGATGTGCTGTAGTGTGCTGGATTCAGAGCAGCGCTGGGGCTGCAGGATCTTTGCTGGGCTGAACAATGAGGATTTCCTGTGCTGAGCATGGGCTCTTTGCTCTGGGTAATGGCAGGTTCTCCTTACACATGGCTCTGGTCCCTGCTTCCTCAAAACTCGCAGGTGCATTTTGAGAAGGCAGTATTGCCTGCTCTGCCTGGCAGAGTGTTTGGACTGCTTGAATTTTTGGTGGAGGTGACATTTGCTGTACCTTGCTCCCGCTAGTCTCACCTTTTTCCTGCACGTAACAACTCAAATCCCTCGTTCACTTTAGCAAACGGCAGTGTGTGTGTGATCAGCAAGTCTAAGTTGAATTTCTTCTCCAAGTAGCTGGAAACTAATTTGGGGACACAATCTCTTGTTTTCCAACCTAGACATGGGAAAAAACACATGCTGTGAATAATCAGAGAAATGCTGATTTTGTAAGGTAGAGTTGCTATGAGGATGAGGACTCAGTGACCAGTACTGGTGCCTTTGTGTTGTGAGAAAATTTCCTCTCCTTAGTATGAGAATGCTAATCATGTCCCAAACTGCCTAAAAAGAAGCATGACCAGCAGTTGTGTGAGTGGCCACGTAGCTGTTTTTTGGTCTCATGTTATGTCCAAACTATGACAATATATGATTTGGAAACTATCATTAAAGGAAAAGGCTGAAATATCTAAAATGTTGTCCCAAGTTTCATACCTCCAAGCAGTGACCCCTTCCATGTACGCCCAGTCAGCAGAAGTGTAGGATCAATGGAAACTGATGAACCAGCATCCACTTCCCCAATCATCACAAAGACACCAGTGTTCATATCGCAGGAAGCCAGGGCAGCAATCTGATAGAACAGGCAGATGAATTAGAGAAGGTGCTGATGAGTTTGTCAGAAAAGTGTTCTTCCTGTGCAGGTCATTTCCAACCAGAAGAAATCTGTGGTTCTGTGCCCGTTTTGAAACTCGTACATCATTTTCTCCCAAAGCCAACAGACTGCCTGTCTGAGCTAAGATGAGCCTGGCAGTGTAGGCAGCAGGCCAGGAACTGCTCTCCGGGGTGAGTTTTGCCCTGAAAGGAGCCTGTCATTGAGCTGGGAGGGAGGACAGGTGCTGAAATGCCACCTACCATGGTATCGGCATGCCCGATGACCTCAAAGGAGTAGTCCACGCCATGGCCGGTCATCTCAGTGATCACTTCCTGAATAGGCTTCTTGAAGTCCTGAGGGTTAATGCAGTCGGTGGCTCCCAGCTCCTTGGCCTTGGCCAACTTGTCCTTGTTGATATCAACGGCAATGATGCGGGAAGCTCCAGCCGCCTTGCAGCCCATGACAACAGGGAGGCCAACTCCTCCAACACCAAAGACAGCACAGGTGGAGCCTGGTTTTACCTGCACCACATGGAGCCCCGTGAGCTTGTGGTGTGAAGAGGAGGCTTCTGCCACACAGGGTTGGTGAGGGTGTAAGGGCAGCCATGCAGTGCTTGTGCTTGATATGCCTGAATACCAACCTTGGCAGTGTTGATGGCAGCTCCGTAGCCTGTGGAAAACCCACAGCCAAGCAAGCAGACTTTGTCCAGAGGTGCAGCAGCATCTATCTTGGACACAGCATACTCTGGGACCACAGTGTATTCTGCAAAGGTGCTGACCCACAGGAAGTGGTGGATCTGCTTGCCCTTGCAAGTGAACCGGCTGGTCTTGTCAGGCAGCAGGCATTGTGATTCGGAGAAGCTGTTGGGAGGAGTAAGCATTTGTTTTTCATGAAGGAAAGCACATGTGGGACTGTCAGACCTCTTGAGAGACAGCTGACTGACTGCTTTTCAGTGTAGGGAAGGCACAGCAAACTCACTGGGTCTTCAGGCAGTAATTGGATTCAGGATTCAGGCAGAAGCTGCATTCCCCACACTGTGGAAGACAAAGAAGGATGACTTTGTCTCCTGCAACAAAGCAGATCCCATGTTAGGTACCATGTTATGATTCTTTCTGGGCAGGCCCTGAAGACCCTGAATCCTGGGTGTGTATTTGTGTGCATGTCTTACCTGGTTTCACAGAGCTCACTCCTTCTCCAACACTTTCCACAATCCCAGCTCCTTCATGGCCTGGGATAACTGGGAAATTCATGTTAGGAAAACAACCTTGCAAAACATGGTCATCTGTGCGACAGATGCCTGTGGCCACAATCTGTTTGGAGAGGAAAGAAAAGATGCTGAACCATTGAAATGGTCTGACCTCTGCGTAACTCAGCTTCTGGAAGGATTCTTCAGAGGACTTCTCTGAAGAGTCAGGGCCTATTAGAAGACATGATTCCTGACAGGTGTCTTCAAGGTACAGCCACAAGAAGAGCAATTTGCACATGGCAGAAAAAAGCCAGTGAATCATGTGTTTTTACCTTGACACGGACTTCACCTGCCTTTGGAGGTGCAACCTCCACTTCCTCAACAGACAGTGGTTTGCCTACAGCCCAGGCAACAGCAGCTCTGCATCTGATAACCTGGAAACAACAGAGAGGATTACACTGCATGAGAATGTTTGCCTTTAGCGCATGGTCAGGACAGTTGTCCTACAGTCTCCTGAAGGTGCAGAGAGAGGTGCAGAGACTGGTAATGCTCACCTGTACACAAAATCAAGTGATGATCAATACACCCTGGCCTAGTTTATGGTCTGAGGAAACACCACTTGTGCATTGCCACACAAGGAGTATGAGGTTTACCCTGAGGACGTTATTGGGTTCTTAATGGCTTCTGTGTTTTTTTCACCATGTCACCATATGCTAGTGTACAGGTTGTGTTGTGACAGGGACTGTGGACCCAACCTAGTGGAAAAGCCTGTTAAGAGCTTTGCTGTTAGTCTGAAGGTACCTAAGAGGGGTTAAGGAACCAGACGGTCCCCCTTCTGGCCGGCAACTGGACGGTTTTTTCCAATGCCAGAGGGATGATTTATGTGTGTCATTTCTCAAGCCGATCACCCCAGAGCTAGTTTGACGTGAGCAAAATTCAGCTTGCAGCTTGAAACAGTACTGCCAGGGACAAGGCTGAGTGCAGGGGATGAGTGGCTGCAAGACTGCACCTCGGAAGAGCAATGCTTCCCTTCCCA